TCGGCCGTGATGATGAATAATATCCTGTAGGATCAGATGGTCGCTTCCTGTATTACACAACTGCCCTCGGTGTAAAGGGCACACATATTTGTGTTCCCAGTAGCTTAAAGCCCATGAGATGTGGTCACAGGATGAATTATGTACAGAAAGGATAGTGGCTTAACCTTTCCTCCAAATGGCAGTGCTGAAGGGAAACCAGTGTGATATAGACGGTCATAATTTTCCAACACATTCCTATGAATGTGTGCCATTTCTTTTCTCCTCTTGTTTTTTGTCTTTTGATTGCATCGTATCAGGCTTATCTTTTAGTGATTTTGAGTTCTTCCTCAGTTGGTACTGATTGCAGGAGCTTGATAGAAGACGGGACCAGTAACAATGTTCCAGTGCTTGATTCCTCAGCGGCCTCAAATCTGCAATCCGCCTGGCTAGCCTGATGAGTCTCAACCAAGTCTCTCACTGAGGAGACCATCATTCTGCAGTAGGACTGAACAGAATCGGGCATTGAATTAGCTCAAGCCTTTACCCAAAGGCACCTTACGTTCAAAGCAATTACCGGAACTGCAAAAATCAGCTTACATGCACTAAATACCTAAAACTTTCAAATCCAATGTAATACAACACAATGGATTATATATGTTATGGTTTCCAAGACAAAACATAATCCAGTCAGGAATCAATTTTGGGATCAATGTCCCTAGACAGTCTAAATAGTTCTGCCTTTGCCCGTATGCTGCTAACATTCATTTAAAGTCCCTTCCAGGTGAGATCAGGAAAGCCCAGGTCATCACTAACAATTAAAAAAAAATGTCTAACAAATAAGCCTATTCTTAATACAGTAGCTTATATGTTCCCCGAGGCCTGAGTCATAAGCAATAATGCACAGTAACTTAAGTCTGCTGCTTTAACAGAGACCTAGGTCTATAAATGAAAAACTGAAACGTGGCTAAGGGTTGGATGATGGCGATGTCTATAAAATTTCGGAAACACAGACAGGACGGGACGGGTGGTAGTCTAATCATTTTCAAAACCAGAGCAAATACCTGGTTCTGAAGCCGCTCCAGACACCTACAACTCTCTGTGCAGAGCTGCTCCCTCTTCACCATGCTAAATGAAATCCTTCGAATTTGCAGTTCTAACCCCACAGCTTTGTTTTGCTGCTGAGTATAGGTCACCTGCAGGAGCATAGTTACACCATTAGGGTTTTGTAGAACCAGATAAAAGTACCTATCAATTGCCTCAGTTCTAGAATGAAGAACTTTCACTCCATTCACCAGCCTGTATGACAGATAAGATAAGATCACTTTATTAGTCATGTACAATTTCTTGTATTAGGAATTTATCTTTTCACAGACCCCACCTTGCTCTCCATGAGACACACAGACAGGGAGAGAAGCTGGGGGTCAGAATGCTGGGTCAGCCATTTATACGGCACCCCTTGGGTTAAAGGCCTTGCTCAGGGGCCCAATGGAGTAGGATTCCTCTGCCAGCCGCAGGATTTGAACCGGCAACCTCCCAGCCACAGGCGCAGAACCTGAGCCACCACTCCACCCTGACAATGACCTGAGATCAGGAATCATCCTTATTAACGTCTCTTATTGGTCTTGGAAGCAGGCTCTGTTATCACCACACCTGCCACAAGAGTTCATCAAGGGGCCTCGTTTACCTGTAAAAAGGATCTCTGGGTGGCAATTAACTAATTAATTAGATAAATGGTGGTGGTTAGGTACACATTCTCACATGGGAGTAATTAGTGGTTTGAGAGTATAAAGGGCTTTACAGTGGGTATGTGGGGCTGTTTTTGAGCCTTTTGTCTTGGAAGCTATGAAAAGCTGATATAAAGCCTCCTGTACAATTACAACTGCAGCCGAGTTTCTTATGTGTTTGAGTGCCTGCAAACTTTTTGTGGTAATGCAATCCTGAGTTAATTTCACTAAGCGTTGGATAGCTTTCGCCGAGCAAAAAAACCTTTGATATTCGTAACCTTTTTTTCCTCCATATTTGTCAGCTGTTGTTCAGTCCTTTCTTTGCGGTTTACTCACCTGAGACCGAGACGCACAAACACGGTCTTCCCACTGCTGCCGTCTGTTTCCACAGCATTCCCAGAATTCCAGCCCCAAGCAGAGTTTCTCCCAGATGATCCGCTCTGAGAATTCTCTGGGCTCATCCTCCCTCCAGCTTCAGCAGACAGCTAGTCATTAAACCTCTCTAGGCCCCTTCTCTTTGGTGGCACCTGACCCTCCAGCAACTTTCTCTTGAGGAGACATGAAGGCTTTTTTTTTTTTACTCAGGTCAGGGAGGTCCCATATTGTGTCCCAAACGTGGCTGACATTTACTGGGCTCTGAGCTGTCAGGAATGAGCTCTTATAAATCAAACTGCGACTTGCACTTTTTACTTGGACAGATTTACAGCTGTGCTCATTTATCTGATTTCTTTTTCCCAGGAACAATCCCTCATTCAGGGGAGTGCTGCCTCCACATTTCTATGCATCTTCCTCAACTTCAGTCTGTATTTGGAATTTTGATGTTTTCCTTTTTTTTTTTAATTTGGGTATTATATACTGAGTAGTGTGCACATCATTTAAGATCTTGAGAACTGTATCCTTCTGTGTCTTCGAAATATAAACAAGCAGATTTGTCGGCTGTCTTCTTAATATGTATTGATTCACTATAAAAATTAATTTCACTCCTTAAAGAGTGAACCAACCTGGACTTCACACACTCACACGGATAGCATCCAGGAGTTGAACTTAGGGCCCCAGCGCTGTGGAACAACAATACTGACCACTGTACCACCTGACTTCATGTATGCTGAAGAAAAATAATACTCTAAGTGGTAGAGTTCCAAGGGATACTAAGCATGTGTCTTTTAGTTTCAAACAAACTTTACTGCTGTGATCTGCACAGTCAAACTAATAAGGTACTTCAAGTCATAGGACATAGTGTGGTCAGTATAGCACTGGGGCCTGATGGTATTTTTACACTCATACTGAAGGAAATGAAGCATGATATTCACAGACCCATAGCTAGTGAATTTCAGCTCTCTTAGAATGGAAACTATACCCACAAACTGGACAAATTGCAAGGACCAATTCATAAAAAAATAGGACATAACTGAACTCAATAACATTAAAAACTAATAGTTTTACTACAGTGATAATGCTAGAATATGATAAAGCTAAATTAAAGGAAGACTGACAAAATGCTTTTTAAGAGACAGCAACGTGGATTTCGACAGGGAAGGTCTTGTTTAACAAACATAGTGGAATTCTTCAAACATATAACGTGGGCATTTGATAATAGTGATTCCTATGGAATAATATATATTAATTTCCAGATATGTTTGGTATGTTTTCCTAATTAAAAAGTCAGTTCTCAACTTAAAAAGCATAGGAAATTGTAACAGGACATATCAGGATGATATAAACCGGGTTAAGCTAACAATCAGATAAATGCATTCCTCACATTCTCATGAGGACATCAGGGAATTGGCTGCAGCTGAGGTTGCTGGATCCCTGTTTAAGCCTGAAGAGTCTCTCTACTGAGCCTCCTATGTTTCTTGGGTTAGTGAGCACTGAAGTGTCTCAGGGAGAGGTAGTTTAGGAGAGTTATGTTATAAAAATTAAATACTTTGGTAAAGTTTAAACAAGGTTATGATGTGTTAGCAGCCTTGATTACTTTACTTGTTGGGGGGCTGGTAAAAAATGAAAATGAAGCTGAGCAGAACCAAACAGGATTGAGGAGGTGAGGGTCTTTCCACTGCTACAGGTTCAACGTGCAGTTAAGATTGTAAGGACAGGAAGCATGTGGAATATCAGGTAGGTACCCTGGGTTTATTTTCCTATGCTCTGGGTTGGTTTTCCATGTGTCCCCCTGGTATGCTGCTACCTGGGGGGAGGAATCTGTCAGAGAAACCAATTAAATGAATACACGTGGATCGAGAACTGGTCAATGGACAGGAAAAGGTACATTTTCCTAAAAAGTACACTGAGCAGATGTAAGCAGTGGTGTGCTGCAGGGCTCTGTCTTGGCTCTTCCTCTTGTCAACAGTATATCAGTGACTTTAGAATTGTTAGCTAGTGTTGAACTTGGAGATAAGAGTGGGTGTGGAAAATGTATTGTAAATGGTGGCAAGAGAATTCCAGAAAGACTTTGATGCATGAATGGATCTGGCAGGTATTTGGAGGATAGATTTTAACATCAGGCACTGCAAGGTGATTCAAATGAGCTGTAGCAACACATGTAATTGATGTTTCAACACGAACATGTGATTGACTTACTCAAATAATACCAAGAATGCTTGGTCATTGCATGAAAAACTCTTTACCATGGCCCAAGATGCATTTTTTTTCTGAATTGTACAAGGAATCTAGCTTGAATGGTGGGTTTAATTCTTGGACTTGCAAAGCATGCAGTGTGACATGGGACCAAGTATTGAGGACCTCCTTTGAACTTCTCACCTGAATTCCTGCATCACTGTATCTAATGTCACCATGCTGGGTCATTAAAGCTCTGGACCACAGGGAATAGTGCCTATGTATTGGTACTAATGATTTTAAGTACTTTATTTAAACTATGATGAATGGCTTCAGATTCTGAAATAGACCTCCTGTGAAGAATGACAGAAGAAAGGGTTCTGTTTGAAAGAGAGCTTTGGCTTCTTAAAGTGCTGAATGGTTATAATGGCTTTGATCACTCTAAAAAGGGGCATAAATATATTTTTGGAATAGCAGATTCTTTGAAAAATAAAGTGCAATACAACGTGCACATCTGCCATTTTTAAAAAGAAAAGTAAATTTCCAGATATGCCCTCTGGGTCTTGTTTAATTTAACCACTCTCCGACACGCTGAATTGTTTAACAGATTGGTAGTAGTGCATTGTTTATTCCCTCAAAGACTTCTGCTGTGAGATATATTCTTGCCCGGCAGAATAAAACCTGCAGGAACACCGTTCTCATTCTTTACATCTGCACTAACCTTAACCCACCTGCTTCCCACAGCTGCCTGTCAATGTCTATTGTAGATCTTTCAACCAACAATAAAAAGCCTATGGAATTAGGAGTCTTTTGATTTTCAGAATTAGGGACCTCTCACTTAAAGCTTAAGAAAGAAAGCAGATTTGGATTTCAAAAAAGGTTATGTTGATAGTAGTAGCTGGAGGCTAGTATCACACACGCACACACATTATTTGAACTGGGTATACTGTACACAGTTCCACTAATGTTCAAGTGGGTTTTCTAATTTCAGTAGTGAACATGAAGAAAGAGCTAAACCGAAAATCGTGAAGATCATTCCATTTCAGTCGTGTGCACTGTGAGGGAGCTACATGTAGTTGCTGAAGGAAATACTGTAGAGCAAGTTATGCAGAATGCATTGCACACTGTCAGAAGCAATGTAGCCTTTCAAAAAGCCTGTCCAGTGATTATGTATTATAAAAATCAGCTTTATTTTGTATAGCGCCTTTAACTGTGGCTTTTCAAAGTGCTTTACAGAGTGACAATAAAAAAAATTGATATGCACAACGAGAGGAGACAGTAGATGGTGGTGGTACTGAATTCAGTAGGAGCAGAGGGTAAAGAACAGGACCATTATTTTATCCATAAGTCTTTCCATTCACTTGAGAAGAAACCTTGTAGAACAGCTTTGTCGGTTACCTCATGATAGATTTCTGTAGCTTGAGTTTGCTAATTGATCTTTACCTTTCATTTCTAACAGTGAAATCAAAGCTAATTTTTGGTCTCTATGAAAAGAGACGGTCTCTTAAGTGACTTGGTTAGGTCATCAGACCTTTTGATGGCTCAGCCAGCTCTGGAGTCAAATCTTGTACTGTAGTTGTAACACATTTAAGAATTCTCCAACTTTAGCTGTGTCTATAGGATGTGTGCTTCAGAAGTAGAAAGATGTGAATTCATACCTTGAAAGAGGTCTTTGAGATGCATAGGATCAGAAAGCTTGACCCTATCATTATTAATAATTATTTCAATATGAGTCATACGCTGTGTTTTAATCGTAATATGAGTCATCTACTAGGGCCATCTGCATTTTCATAATGGTCTGGTCTGAAGCAGTGGTGAGACTCTTGGATTGATTTTTTTTTAAGAACATTTGAAAATCTAGCCTTGTTCTACTTAAAGTTGTATTTTAGTTCTCTTTCCAGGTATAGTTTTGGATTCTATGTGGAATTAACCTTTTTTTCTCCAAATTGTGGGTTTGAATTCCTATCAGGTTGTGATGTTTTCTACTCTAATTACTTTAGAGGCAAAAGCTGCTCAAGAGGCTTGAGTTTAATAACATCCCACAAAAAATGAGGTAGCATTATCCCTAAATCCCGGATATGTTATTTAATACTAAAAATACCTCTCAAGGCCACTGTAAAATGCTTTTAAAAGGCCTCATTCTGAAGCAAGAGATTGAAAAATCAGCATATTAAACTACTGCTAGAAGCTCCGAAGACTGGTCAGATGACAGTGTAAAGTCAGATATAATTATTAGAGATTTACATCTGTAAAAGCTATTTATTCCTATAAAGATTATTTAAAACAAATTTGCAAGTATTTTCTGTGAAATGGACAACTCCACTGCTTCACAATCTCCAAAAAAAACGCACTTTTAAAGTAGTGCAATCTTTTGGAAGTGGCACAGTACTCAATCAATCAAAGTTTATCAAATGCACAACAATACAGTGTGCAGCGGTAGTTGCTGGCAGTGAAATGTCTTTTCTGCAATTTTTGGGGGTAAAAATAACAATTTAAAGTTGCAAAATAAGGTGACATAAACTCAGACAGAGCTTTATATAAGTAGAGCTGTGATGTGTCCAGGGTGTATGCAATACACTGTCCATGTAGTGCAGTACGTCCAATACAATTTTCATTGTATGTTCATGTACAGTAGCCATTATGGGTGATTAACTGAAGGAGCTGCAGGTTGGCTATTTAGCAGTCTTATTGCCTGGAGGTAGAAGCTGGTCCGTAGTTTGTATCTTTGACTGAATGCTTCAGTACTTTTTGCTGGACAGTAGGGGAGAAAGCAGTTAATGACTGGGGTCCTTGAGAATGGACCTGGCCATCTTAAGACCTCTAGCTGAGTAGGTATCCTGGAATTTTGACAGCTCACTGCTGATAATGATCTGTGCTGACTTCACCACCCTCTGTAGCACTTTGCGATCCCGGGTGGAGCAGTTCCCATACCAGGCAGTGATGCAACCAGTCAGGATGCTCTCGATAGTGCACCTGTAGAAGTTGGCCAGGATAATGATGGCATCCCAAACTTCTTTAGCCTGCAGAGAAAGAAAAGGCACTGCCATGATGTTAGTGTCGTGGGTCCAGGTGATGTCCACTATGATGTTAACTCCCTGGAACTTAAAACTGCTGACCCTCTCCACTGAAGTCCCATTGATGTAATTAGGTGTGTAATCTCTCTGGCGTTTCCTATAATCCACAATCATCTCCTTAGTCTCACAGATGTTTAGAGAGAGGTTGTTCTGCTGGCACCATGCTGCCAGGGTTTCAACCTCCTCCCTGTACGCAGACTCCTCACCATCTGTGATCAGGCCGATGATTGTTGTATCGTCGGCAAACTTAATGATGGAGTTTGAGTTATTCCTGGTGACGCAGTCATGGGTAAATAAGGAGTAGAGGACAGGGCTAAGCACACTGACTCAACAGTGGAGCCCCCCACAAGGCTGAGTAGAGGATACTGTATGTCGGTGCCCACCCTCACCACCTGCGGATGTTCCATCAAAAAGTTCAGGATCCAATTGAGGAAGTTGTTCAGTCCCAGGTCCTGGAGCTTGATAACAAGCTTTGAGGGTACTATGGTATTGAATGCTGAGCTGTAATCAACAAACGGCATTCTCACATACCATATGTTCCTTTCCTATCCAGGTGTGGGAGGGCAGTGGCAATAGCATCTTCTGTTGACCTGATCTGGGGATGCGCAAATTGCAGTGATCCTAGTGTGTCAGGCAGTGAGAAGGTGGTGTATGCTTTGACCAACTGCTCAAAGCACTTCATGATAACCGAGTCATTCAGGCAACTGACTCTGGGTTTCTTCGGGAGAGGGATGATGGTGGTTTTCTTAAACTAGGAAGGAACTATAGACTGAGCTAGAGAAAGATTGAATATATCCAAGAAGACATCTGCCAACTGGTCTGCATATGCCTTCAGAACGTGGCCAGGGATAGCATCAGGGCCAGGAACCTTGCGTGGATTGTTCTTTTTAAAAACTTTACACACACACACGCTCTGGGTATGATCAGTGAGTTTTCATCTTGGATTTCTGGAATCCTCCTGGCTGGATCAGTATTGCTGATCTCAAACCGAGCAAAGAATGAATTTAGCTCATCAGGAAGAGGCAGACTATTGTGTGATATAACTGGGTTGCGTTTTGTAGTCTGCAATGGTCCGTATACCACTCCTCATGTTCCGTGCGTTGCAGCCGTGATAATATAACTTTAATTTAACTCTATACTGCAGTGCTGAATAATGTCCCAGTCTGTCTGAAGAAAATTCAAATTTCCCGTGACAACTACTTTTTGCATTACTGATTTAATAATTTAAGACCATGGTTCTCAAACTTTTTCGATGATGGAACCCTTTCCTGTAAAAGCTAATGTGGATCCCCAGCAACCTTTTCTTCTTACTTTTCAGGATTTAGCTATGGCGGTGTTCTGCAAAAAGCATTCTAGGACTACTATTCAGAGGCGATTTTAGCCAATTATTAAGGAAGAAACTATCGATTTTGTTTTAATTGTAAGCAGTGCATGAGCCAATTGAGTTTATTTCAGTCATTTATTAATCACATGAGGCTAGCAGCCATA